TTCGGTCACCTCAACGCAGCGAGATAAGAGACTACCAAAGCCTTCAGCAAAGGTACGGAAAATCAAATACCAAATCATACTTGGCATACTGTACTCCCACCACACCCCCAGACACCAAAATCCTAAGCACCCCGCCAAGTGCATCACAGCGTATGCAGCTCTAGGCCTGCACACCTTGACTGCACTTCAAAGGATTTCCGGTTTAAAAACGCGGGGAAAACTTCTGATTGAATCTGAGATGCGAAGCGAAACACTATACATGTATGCCGCCACTGCCACGCTGAACGGACTGCGCACAATGTCTGGTCTTTCGGTCTGCCGAGCGGGGACGAACCCCAGTCCAGGGCGCTCGAGAACATCTCATTTTGAGATGCCGAAGTGAAACTGTAAGCTACCTGACCTACGTCCACGGAAGGTTTGCCAGCAGCATGCTGGACTCGACAAGGTTTGGCACAAGTCTGACCATCCTGATCTTTGCTGATCAGATGCCACGCAACCGCAAGTAGTCAGCAGCTCAGTTGGTTAAACACGATGTTGCAAAAGTCACTCTGTGCATTGACCAATTCAAGGATTGCGATCCCTAGCGGATCCTGGCACAAGCAAGTGAGTGCACGAACGCACATTTGGTGCGATGCGGCACTGTGCATTGATACCACTTCGGACTCACGAAAAGAGGTGGATAATTCATCACAAGATTGGTCCAACCACTGATCGAGTATAATCAGCTGCACAAGCGAGTTGGAAATATGCTGTATGGGCTCAGTCATGGCAAATGCTGCACCAGCCTCTCGCTGGATAGCGCGTCAAAGCTGAAGACAATCTCATCGCCTCGATGTTCCTCGAGTCATGCAACGTGGGACAATGTGGTGTAGTATGAATCTTCCTGCCATACTTGGTCAAGTAAACCAGCGGCTCATCATCACCATGCATAGGATCGCTGGCACTTGTGGCGGGCGGCTCGTCAGAGCCTCGAGCTGCATCATGAGCATTACCATTCTCATCTTCATCAGGCACATGTTCATTGCCCCAAACACTCGTAAAGTCAGGCTCATCGGATCCGGGCTCGGATATGTTGAAGATGTGGCGGTACTCCCTGTCGTCAAGATTCGCAAGCCACTCTGCATAATCCTCGTAGTCCCAACTTTCATGAGCATCAGTAGGTGAGGCTTCTCCAGCAAGCTCGCTGTTTCCCAAGCTGTCGGCTCCGGCCTGTCGTTCAAGTTGACTTGGCTCACCATCACAAGAGTGATGCTCGTCAGGCGCATCAGCACGTGCGACCCAACCACTAATCCTCCTAAGAACTAGGGCAAGGGCCAGGACTATCAACCCTATGATGGCACTAAACCTGAAGATGCTCAGCATGCCTTGGCTGCACCAGTCAACCTCCACACTAATCACCCAACCTAACCTAAACCCTTGCTGATCCTCAGGCTCAAGATCACATCCGCACAGGGCCAAGGAAGCGATGACAAACGCGCACATAAGCGGCATTGGGAACTGCATGGGCCCAAGGCAAACACAAGCGGCTGACAAAGTGACTAAACAAGCTGCGGTCAGTAGCAAGGAAGGCGTTTCGGGCGCAACCAGGCTCAAGGCGCTCGCGGAATCAAGCATGGAAACCAACGACAACACACGCAGTATGTTCGCCATCTGCTGCGGGTTTCCCTTAGCCTGTCTGATTGCACGGATGGCAACCTTCAATGCCTCCCTGTCATCCTCTGACCGAACCTGGTCAGCTCCAATCAACTCATGTCCATTGCTGGTGTCAACCATGCCGAAGTAGTAAAGCAGGAGAGCTTGGCGTTCGGCTCGCAATGACTTGGTCATCAAGTCTGACAGATTGTCCTTTGTCGGGACAGGATGAAGCTGAAACGCAGCAGCAGCCACTTTGTCCTGCAGCCATAACAGCTTCAATTGAAGATGCCGGATCTTCCCACATCCTTTGCGCGCGGCAAGCTGACGGGCACTCGACGAGTCGCAGAACAAGTGCAGTGATGGCTCTTCTCCAGACAAGAACTCAAGAGCTGCACCGACGTACAGCATGTCAGCAGCTCCTCCGACCATGGCCGTGTACTCTGACTCACAGGAGCTCAAAGCCAGGGCCTTCTGTGATCGACTGGCGCTCATCAGGAACACTGAGTTCACAAACAAAGCCATGGCACTGGTGGACTTACGACTGGTCCTGCAACCTGCCCAATCGGCATCGGTGTAGCATTCAACGATGTCCTTGCCCGCGGCGCGGGCTCGCACTCCTACACCCCTTTCAACGCGGTGCATTGACAAAGCCCAGCCGGCTGTCGCCATCATGTGTCGCACGAGATGTTTCAAGGCTGACCAACACGCCTCGGTTGGATTACCAAGGTGCTGGCTCAGCGTCTTAATGGCATACTGGCAGTGGGGGATTTCCGCCTGCACATACAATAAGATCCCGATCGCCGTTTTGTATTTTGAACACCCTTCAGCACTCAAGCTCGGCGACGCTGTCAAGTCAGGCAACTGCAGCGGCAGTGGGGTTTTCTTGCCTGCACATCCATGACGCAAACCTGTGACTTCCATGAGTCTTTCAAGGTGTTTTGGATGGCTGCGGATGATCAACATGTTGTCCGAAGTAAGTGTGTGCTCACGTTTCAAGAAACTGATGCTATCACCCAATTTCACAAGAAATTGCACGCTGCATGAAAACCTGCTGCACAAGAACTCGGTAAGCTTCTCAAGAGTGTCCAATTTCCCTTCACCGAGGAGATCGTCCACATGTGTCAAACCTGCACCCTGGCCATCTTGCAAGCGAAACAGGGCTGGACAGGCAGGCCAAGCGGTGGCCCCAGCTTCGGCGAGTACGGATGAGAACAAGTCATACCATCTGGCAGATCCTTCTCGTTGCCCCGGTAGGAGCTTCAGCAGTTGATACTGTCCCCCGTACAATGACACCCACATCTCAGACGGCTGATCGACGCAGAGATAAGCGTCAGCCACATCCAGGGAGCACATGACGTGGTCTGGTCGGGAACTCCAAACGGCCGGTAGCAGCCTAGTGAGAAGCTGCTGGCTTGCCGGGCTGTACAGCCCAGATCGGCTGGGGTCGTCACGAGCGAACTCGCGGGCTACCAATCGACTCCTTCTCAAGTAAGCTGGCTCCTTTGTCTTAGGATGCGGTTTTACTCGCCACGTACGAACAAACCGAGTCGACAAGACCTTGATCGCACTGTTGAGAGGCTGCCCTTCCTTCAAGACATGCATGCCCAAAAGTCGAGAAATCTCGTGTTGATCTGCAAGGGAATCCAAGGCATCAAGTTCGGTGGGTGCAAGGCTCGGCTCTTCAGGGCCGTACGGAAGATACAACTCCAATGGGACATTGGGAGTGGGCTCTTCATCGAACCGTTCATCCAAGTCATAATCATGATTGCACATCACCTCGCAGTCCTCGGCCGTAAACTCGACCGGATCCTCTTCACCATGCTCAAAAGCTATTGTAGCAAGGCGGGCACGCTTGGAGCGATCATCATCATCTGCAACGGATGGTGGCTCCCTCGAAACAGAACTTGACACATCCATTGACTCGGCCGGTACTGCAGGCACCGCTGGCAAAACCACAGCAGGAGGTGCGGCAGGCGTAGTGGGTGCGCTGCTAGAACCATCATCACTGCTCATGGCATCTGACGCTGCGGCATCAGGAGCATCTGCAGAAGGAGAGGGCGGCACGCTCGGGGAGTAGTAAGGAGTGGTTCATCTCCCGGCACCGTGGGACGACCTTCCTCAACCAACTCGCCCCCGCCAGCCTCGAGCGGTCCAGGAGCCCCGCCAGCCAACAACGGAGAAAGGCTCGATGGCAACTCGACCTTTGGCTCCCTTTGCACACGAACACGCCCAGCTGAGCCTGCAATGAAACCTGGGTGTTTCCAAGGATGATCCTTAAGCACTTTATGGTCTTGAGGAGGAAACTCGGGCGAAAGCCTTCTAGCGGTCCGTGCCAGCACAAGTCTGCCGGCCGAAGTGCAACCAATCCACTGATCACTTGACATCACCTTGCCAAGAACTTGACCTTGAACGAACCTAGGTTTGCCCTTAACTCCCTGAGGCACAAGCAGCATGACTGTCTCCCCATATGGAATCACGGCCCCGCGATAGGGCCTTCCCATAGCAGCCTCAAAAGAAGTCAAACCTCCAGGCCTGACTTGGAAGCGATTAAGTATGAAGGCTGAATGCCTCAGCGCCCAGCTGTGCAGCGGATGGCTACTGTGCACTGCTTGTCCGGTCCTTTTCTCGTAGAACGACAAGATGGACCCAGCAACCTGGCGGACCGTATGGACACACATCTCCGCTCCTCCGTTGCTCTGGTGGGATCCTTCGGGGACCTGCTGGCACACTGTCCTCAACCCCATACCAAGGCGCAACTTCTTAACCTCATGCTGTAGGGCAAGACAGGTCGGCTCTGGATCAGATTTAACCACAACTTGACTATAGCCCAGAAAGGCAATCAGTCGGCACAGCTCGGAAGCCAGGTACTGCAGCACGTTCATACCACCGCAAATCCCTCCTTTGGCGGGTACTGGGAAGCATTCACGCCACCCAGTCTGTGCATCATGCACAAACAATGCTGTCATCTTGGGCTCCCCTTCCTTTCTTGACGAAAACCCGTAATCGAAGGAAATGCAAGGGATGCGGTCCTCGGAGTTCTTGACCTCAGAATGTGCATCATCTCTCCCGCGGAAGGCTACGCAGTGCTCGCACCAGGCGGCGTAAGGACAATGTGTAGCCTCATGGGCCCTTCGCTCCTCGGGCGTGGGCTCGGCAGGCTGCTGAGGCACAACGCCTCGTGGCACGGCATGTCCATCACCTGGCTCAGCAGCACGGGCTGTTGCTGCAAGCTCTAGCGCCTTCAATCTATCCGCAAGGCGACGGAACACTGTCGCCCGTGAGCCACTCTTGCCGACACCCAACGTCTTACACGCCGCTCTCAAGGTAGACAGAGTGCTCGTGGCGGTCAAGACGACCTCCCCAACCGTAATGGATTCGGGGAGCGCTGAAGGCTCATCAGCAAGCGCTTCTTGCAGCATCGCATCGTCCTGGGCATCGTCGTGAGGCAGTGCCTCGGGCGCAACTGCGTCCTCCAAGCCCTCGCAAAACACTTCATCAAGCATCTCACCTGGTGGCGCGGCCTCAACCTCACCAACTCCTGCAGCCGGTGGCTGCATGGAGAATCCAAGATCCTCAGGGCTCAGCATTTCACGATGCCCGAACACAATCATCTCGAACTGCTCACCGCTTGGGGCAATCAAGTCATTTGGCACTTCCAAGCTTGCAAGGGATTCACTCAACTCAAGCAAGGCCCACGGCTGGCTGCCGTCTCGGCGCACAAGTGTGGTGCGATACTCAAGACCCTCCTGCGGTGCAAACAATCCAAGATCAACATATCGGTCGGACAACACCTTGGCGGCATGCACTGACGGTGCAATCTCAGTAAGGTAATCGTGCTCGGACAACAATCGCTCAAGGAGGCCTGACACCTGAACAGGGCTCGAGGCATTGGGAACATCAGTGATGGCACGCACAGCGCCTCGGCAAACAAGTGTATTGTGCTGGAACTCTAAAGGAATGCAAGCGCTCTCGTCAGGGCTGACCAGCGCAAGTCCACCCGGGCTGTCGTGGCCAACAATACGCCAACCTCTCCGCAACAGCTTTCCAGTGGCCAGGATAGGCTGACTAACTCCCGTCACGACCCACCTATCCACTATTTCTACATCCCCAACACGGAGTGACGCATGACGCACACCTCGCGTGGGCATGCTGTTGCCGGATGCATCTACAAGCCCCCGTGGACCGTGAGCACTCTCAGTCCCGACCTGAACATAAGCAAACGGGATGCAGGACTCATCGGCAGCTGTGTCTATGCACACCACGGCATCGGCCACCCTAGGGCTGTTGACTGTGCACACGCGACCAAAATCTGCACGGAACTGACTGTCTACGGCCTCTGTCCACACACCGTCCTGATCACTGCAGGTCATGTCGAACGCGACACATTGGACACCTGAAACCTGATTGCTGGGACACGACACTGCATCGGATGACACTGGACTGCTTGACACTGCATCGGATGACACTGGACTGCTTGACACTGCGTCGGATGACACTGGACTGCTTGACACTGCATCGGATGACACTGGACTGCTTTGGCACGACACTGCATTGGATGACACTGGACTGCTTTGGCACGACACTGCATTGGATGACACTGGACTGCTTTGGCATGACACTGCATTGGATAACACTGGACTGCTTTGGCATGACACGGCTCGGATTGCAGCCAAACTTCCACTCTCAGGCTGATTCCTCGTGAGATCGATGCGAATGCTCTTTACAGACCTGGAAGGGGACGATGCGCTTGCAGCAGCACTAGTAGCGGTGGGGGAAGCTTCACCAGACGGGTTCGCCGGCGGATGACTGTCCTCAACCTGCCGAACGCGGGCTGCTGATTTGTCGCGCTGGGACTGATCCTGCCGCATCTTGCGGCAATCTCTCTGGTAATACCCTTTCTTATGACAATAATGGCATTCCACATCTGCGAGAGAACGTGATGCACTCGACGAATCACCTTTGCCCTTACCGCTATCCTGCTTGCCTTTGCTGCCTTTGCCCTTGCCTTTGTCACCGTGTTTTCCACTTTTGCCACCTTTGTCGCCTTTACCTTTCCCCTTACCTTTGTCCTTGCCTTTGCCCTTGATCTTAGAGACTGAGCCTTCCGCATCAACCTCCATGTCGGCAGCCTGGCTACCAGCAGCAGGCACGCTGGGCATGAGCAGTTGCTGATGGACTCGAGTAGGGTTCCAACTCTGCGTGACATTCTCAAACTGAAGAATCTGCTCACGAACTTGCACATATGTGGTGTCTTCTGTAAGAGAAAGATTGATGTGATCACGCAGGTA